CGGTATGTACTACGCACACACTTAGCGGACAGCACCAACTATATCTTTTTATCATGTCTCCGACCTGAAGGATTAGGTCGCTGGTTTTATTTGACATAGGCTGAACATTTTATTAGCTTATGTTCATTGTACTAGCCCACGCGCATACCCTTTGCATATAACTAAATCTATAACTACACAATCAGAGACTCATGCAATTTATATCCATAAGCATGCCCACCGGGAAGATCGTCACGATTTTTAAAGCCTCATAAAGTGAACTCTGAGTAATCCAAATTCAGCATAAGAGTGATAGACTAGTTCGATCGCCATTGACCGTCCAAATTAGCTAGGAAGGTTATCTTCACTACTCAGCAATTCAATGTGGTGGCTTTGAGTTGGATTTCTCTTTCGACATGTAAAATTTTCCTACACCTGGAATCTACCGTTTTCATCATTCACTACTATTCATTAGAAATTCACGAATTTCAAATATAAGCTGATAGAAAATGACTGATTGATTTTTATTATCACTATGTTAAATTACTCTATGAATATTTTTGACAATGTGAGAGTAATTTTCACTAAGAACTGACGTCATATCAAGAACTAGTCGGTACTTTAACTTGATTCTAACGTAGAGACTAGTGAATACACATTGATAAGAAGTTTTAAATTAGTATAAAATAGTTATCTAGTTCTCGATGTGTTTTGTTTTTCAAAAGTTCTTTATTTGATATTCAATTGAGTAAAATTTAATGTCATATTGTAAGAAATATTTACTAAACTAATATACTAAACAGATAATTCAACATTTGTTTTCATTTAGCAGTAAAGTTGAACAATACTTACTTACTTACTTACGCCTGTTACTCCTCGTCGAGGAGCATAGGCTGCTCACCAGCATTCTCCATCCAACTCTGTCCTGGGCAATCCTTTCCAGTTGTTATTCATCCTTTTCATATCTGCTTCTATTTCCCATCGTAATGTGTTCTTTGGCCTTCCTCTTCTCCGCTTCCCTTCCGGATTCCAAGTTAGCGCTTACCTTGTAATGCACATTGGTGATTTCCTTAATGTATGTCCTATCCACTTCAAACGTCTTCCCTTTGAACAATAGCTAACAATATAATCCAGGATATCTGTTTCATGTTATTTAGGACGTAAGGGTTACATGTACCTGGATCCTAGCGTTAATGTTCACACATGAACACTCGAATTCAGTAACTGATATATCCAAAAGAGTATTAAATGGATATCCTGAATTTCACTGCTAATCACAAACCTCAATCCACTCAGTATGCTTGTTGTCACTATTGCCTGGTTAATTATCAAGTGATAAGATGCCAAATCAGAACACGACTTATACAATCTTAGCGATGTGTTAAACAAATGAAGTGTTTACCGGTACAAAAAGCTTAAAGTACTTATTGGTCCTTTTCCTGTCTAGTTCTGCCTCTTAAGTCCAGCTTCCACTATACGAATCATATATTTCAAACATACATCGTTTATATACAAGCAAACCAGGTCACATCAAACCATAAAAATAAAAATAACCATTATACAAGATCAAGCTAAAATGTGGTTATGATTGTGAGATACTGTAATTAATGAAATGGGTATAACTTTAATAAATCGTACGATATTAGTCAATAGGTCAAATAACATCTTATGATAAAAAGAATATAAATATATATAATCTAGTTATTTAACAGTTATAAAATAAGAATGTTTATGCATATGATAGTTCGTAAATAAGTTTTAACAGTTACCATTCACTTATTCTTCGTTAGGATATAACAACACACACAGATACAGATGAAATGCACTCCTTGATAGTAACAACAAAAAACTGGATAAATATATAGTCCCAGAATGAACATCAACTCTGAGATGCAGGTACATCCAGCTGAAGAGTCCCAAATAGGACGAAACGCGCATCCTGGATTCCATTGCTAGCCACTATCCATCTTTACTTACAATTCTTGTGAATTAAGGCTATATCGAGGCAAGACACACAGTATGCGCATATGCCAATAAGAGGCTGACCAGTTGCAGTCCTAAACATCAATGGGAAGTTTCAAGCAAACAATACTAAATGAATCTAGATGGATATAGTTTGTCAATATAAGGTTGTAGAGATTGTTAAGTTTAGATTAATATTATGAATAGATCAGTGTTAGACCACCATTGAAAACTTGGAACAACTGGGTGGTGTTAATATTTAACTTCCACCAACCCATGATATTGCGCGACTGTTCACCATTGTCTTCAGTAAGTAACTGCCTCACAACAAACACCGTTGATGTAGTTAAGTTGAATTGAAAAGGATTGGTTTATACTGGCACTATGACCAGTTTGTACTAAATGGGCCAATATTGAGCTGTTTACTTTCTTCATCAGACCTTTGCTTAGCGACGCTGGCAGATGTTCACGAGTACGAAAATGTATATTCCTAGAACTTCGACCAATATAACTTGCTCCACAGGAGCAGTCGTACTGATAAATACAAAATGAGGTGGTCATTCTAGGTACTTCACAGTTAAGCCTCGGTGTCACCATTGGACGCGTAGAAAACACTTAACGTAGTTCACCGGCGTTGAAAGATTTTTAGATTGATCTGCGTAATCTTTGAGTAAGTATTTCGCTAGCTGCAACCCCCCTAAATTGTAGGAGCATGAACAACGACTTCTTCTTGACCGCCTATTTTCACTTTCATGATCATATATTTTATTATAAACTTTCTGGGGTAATCGTTCTCCTTCAGAGCATCATGCAATGTGTTTAGCTCATCTTCAACTACATCTGCCAAACATATAGTGCGTATTCGGTAGCCAAGGGTTTTGATCAGGTTTCGTTTGTACTATAGAGGTACAAAGCTAAGGGAGTGCGTATACTGCCCAGTCCATGTACTTATTATTATTATTTTTAATCTGGTAAACTTGATCTCTTTTAAACATTCGATCATTTTGTGATCGTCTTCATCACATATCAACCTGACTACCACCCTCTTCAAATTCTTATTCACCTTATTATTATTATAAGGATTATTAGCTTTATTGGTTTGTTTGTATAAATTTATTTGTATTGTGATAGAAAGAAATACATTAATGAAGAAATGTAGTAAAATTTATTGAACTGTGAATTCATGATCTTGTTTGTTTTGGGTTCACATTCTTGTTTCTACTTAATAAACCTGAGACAAATCAAATGTTCATCATCATCCTCATCAATAACATTAACATTCTTATCATTGACAAATGGACATCTGATTGGAGAGATTTCATAATTTACCCCTGATTAATTATTACTGTAAATGATGGCTGTAATTTTGATCTGATAGATTTCATCACATAAGCAAGTAGATTATTATTATTACTGTTTATTTAAAATGACAGGATTGATTAGCCCCCCCCCGTTTTTTTCTGTTTCTCCAATTCTTTTATTCTGTGTATGAGTGTATGTTGGCTAGACTACATAAACATGCATTCACATGTTAAAACATATGTGACCTTTCTAACATAAACATGCATATCTTCAAGCATTACATAGGAATCAATGTGTGCGTATACACACACAAATATATATTTCATGGTCTCTGTCATAAATAAATAGGCTTGGTCGGGAATTAATTAAACAACCAGATGTTTAGTTCATCCTACTAAAACATACCCTTTCAATATACATATAGATACACACTTACTTCAGGAATAAGACTTAAGATCATAACCATTTTATAGTTTGTCTATTCTTTTTTAATGAATAAACATGCACAAATACACACAATATAAGGTACATGCAATCGAATTTCTACACTCTCATTTACTTATATTAGACCCAAGAAGATAATAATGTAATATAACCAGATGACATAAGGAATATTTGTAATCGAATAACAGCTGTTCGATTAGTTGACATACAATTCAGTTACCATAAAATGATTATTAATATATATTAGAATGTTATAGAGTTGAGAACATGAGTCAATTGAAGCAAGACCACCATGGAAAACCTGGAAGCACTGGACGGCCGTTTCGTCCTATTATGGGATTCCTCAGAAGTGCGCATCCACGATCCCGCACTCGCGAGATTCGAACCCAGGACCTACCAGTCTCGCGCCAGGACACTTAACCGATAGACCACTGCTCACTGCCAAGGAGGAGTCCCATAATAGGACGAAACAGTCGTCAAGCAGTGCTTCCAGGTTTTCCATGGTGGTCTAGCTTCAATTGACTCATGATTTCAACTATGAAAATGTAACATTGGTTATTATTCACTGATAGATCAATTGTAAGAAACTTAATTTAACAGGAAGTCAGTCACAGACTGAATAGCTCAGTGTCAGTGTTCTAGACTTTGATAATAAGTGACATGAGATTAAATTCACTAACAAACACAAGTACCATCAAGATTGTAAGTGTAACTTCGTGACGAGCACTAACTAACACAAACATTAATTAAATACTTTCACCTATCGACTACCTTCAATCACCCCGTTATTGGTCTACCTAATCCGATCGAGCTCATAGACAGAGTCAATGTGTCTGTTAGTTGTTAACCCGTATGAATCTCATGTTTTTAAAAATTCTCTGGCACTCTTGGGGTTTCGTCGACTAAACATTTTAACGTTTTACTAGTTTAATTCGTCTCCATAGTTGTCTCAATCAATTGATACCAGTGATAATATTTCAATGACACACCCATAGGTCAGTCTATAAAGACAGTCAACGTGAATCTAAAGGTAAATAAAGACAACAAAACCTACAAAAACATCTAGCCACATACAAAGCTGTCGGAATAAACCGATATAACACATGGAGAATAACTAAAAAGTTCACTGAAGATATTGTTCAGAACGAAAATGAAAGCTCCCTAATTAAACCATCCAACTCATAGTTTATATGATGTTCGATATATTATCGTATTCTCAAATAATCAATCTCATAGATCACAAAAAACATACAGAAAACAATACACTACAATAAACTAAACGCTGCAAAGCAAATCAATTTTAGAGACACTGATTAAATTTGATTTCGTGATTTACAACAGAACAATGAACTATGTACTTGAATAAAACAAATTGGTTCATTATTATTATTATTATTATTATTATTATTATTATTATTATTATTATTATTAGTAGTAGTAGTAGTAGTAGTAGTAGTAGTAGTAGTAGTAGTAGTAGTAGTAGTAGTAGTAGTAGTAGTAGTAGTAGTAGTAGTAGTAGTAGTAGTAGTAGTAGTAGTAGTAGTAGTAGTAGTAGTAGTAGTAGTAGTAGTAGTAGTAGTAGTAGTAGTAGTAGTAGTAGTAGTAGTAGTAGTAGTAGTAGTAGTAGTAGTAGTAGTAGTAGTAGTAGTAGTAGTAGTAGTAGTAGTAGTAGTAGTAGTAGTAGTAGTAGTAGTAGTAGTAGTAGTAGTAGTAGTAGTAGTAGTAGTAGTAGTAGTAGTAGTAGTAGTAGTAGTAGTAGTAGTAGTAGTAGTAGTAGTAGTAGTAGTAGTAGTAGTAGTAGTAGTAGTAGTAGTAGTAGTAGTAGTAGTAGTAGTAGTAGTAGTAGTAGTAGTAGTAGTAGTAGTAGTAGTAGTAGTAGTAGTAGTAGTAGTAGTAGTAGTAGTAGTACTATCATTATACACAACATTTATAAAGAAAAAGGAACAGTTTATGAATGTACATTAAACCATATCAGCTGACAATGTATGTAAATGTTGTAAATAATTTCAATTGAAAACCACTTTTCAATGAATAAATAAAGGAAATTGTCCTTAATCTAGGTATCTATGTTTACCAATTATTATAATGTGAATAGTTTTACTATACCAAATTAAACTCTTGGAATTATTGATCTTGTAATATAATAACTCGGTATAATGGTTACTAGTTTAAAGACAAATTTTCCTTCTGACAATTAGTATAATTGTATGCATTTCAAGATTATTTGTTTACTAATTATTTGTTTACTAATCTGGTTTGTTCTCTTACACAGTAACTTGTTGCTGATAGTGTCTGACAAACGGATCCGAAGTATCTTGCGTAGACAACTGTTAATAAACACCTATATCTTCTGGATGATTTCTTTCGTAGTTCTCCACGTCTCCGCCCCATACAGTAGAACTGTCTTGACATTTGTATTGAAAATTCTAACCTTGGTGTTGATTGACAGTTGTTGTGAGTTTTAGATGTTTTTCAGTTGTAAATATGCTGCTCTTGCTTTGCCGATCCTCGCCCTCACATCTGCATCTGATCCACCGTGTTCATCAATGATGCTGCCCAGATATGTAAAGGTTTCCACATTCTCCAAAGCTTCTCCGTCAAGTGTAATTCGATTGGAGCATTTTGTATTGTATCGGAGAGTCTTGCTTTTCCCTTTGTTTATATTGATACCTGCTGCTGCTGAGGCTGCTGCTACATTAGTCGTCTTCTCCTGCGTTTGTTGTTGCGCATGTGATAGAAGAGCCAGATCATCTGCGAAGTCTAAATCTTCCGGCTGCATCTTACCTGTCCACTGTATCCCGTGCATTCCTCCAGATGTTGACGTCTTCATGATCCAGTCGATGACCAGGAGAAAGAGAAAAGGTGAGAGTAAGCAAACTTGCCTAACAGCGGTCTCCACCTCGAATGAGTCGGTGAGTTGTCCGCCATGGATAATTCGGCAGTTTTATCCATCAAAGGAGTTCCGTATGATATTGGCTATCTTCTCAGGCACGCCGTAGTGTCGAAGAAGCCTCCATAGTGTTATCCTGTCCATGCTGTCAAATGCTTTCTCGTAGTCAATGAAGTTGATGAAGAGTGATGAATTCCATTCGATTGATTGTTCCACAATGATACGTAGAATGGCGGTTTGGTCTGTACACAATCTATTCTTACGAAATCCAGCTTGTTGATCTCGAAGTTGGGCGTCCACGGAATCCTTCATCCTGTTTAACAATACTCTGTTGAAGACTTTTAATGGTATTGAGAGAAGAGTGATGCCTCTGTAGTTATCACAATTGCTGAGTTCGCCTTTCTTTGGTATGTTGATGAGAAGTCCTTCTTTCCAGTTTGTTGGTACTAGTTCGTCATCACAAATTTTACTGAAGAGAATGTGAAGTATCTTTGCAGTTACCGCCACTTCTGCCTTCAGTGCCTCTTCTGGAAGTTTGTCTGGTTCTGGTACTTTGTTGTTGGTACTCTTGATTTTTATGATGGCTATTCTGATCTCTTCAATTGTTGTTGGGCCAACATCGATTGGGATGTCCGTGAGTGATACTTCGATGTTGGGTGTGTTCAGTGGAACTGATCGATTCAAGAGTTATTTGAAATGTTCTACTCACCTGTTTCGTTGTTCTTCTTCAATGTCGGTGATTACCTTCCCTACCTCGCTCTTCACTGGTCGTTCTGGTTTACTGTACTTTCTAGCTAGTTTCTTTGTTGTATCAAACAGTTGTCTCATGTTTCCATCTCCTGAAGCCTTTTCCGCTGTCATTGCTAAATCTGCCACATATTTATGTTTGTCGGCTCTGATGCTCCTCTTCACTTGCTTGTTTACTTCTATGTATTCAGCTTGTGCCTTGGCTTTTTCTGCTCTTGTTCAGCTGATATTGACTGCTGCCTTCTTGTTCCTCCTTTCTTCAATCTTATCCAGTGTATCAACAGTGATCCATTCCTTGTGGCCGAGAACCTCCCAACATGTTGAAGTGATTGCCTCCTTGATCTCTTTCCAGTTGCGCTCCATAGTAGTTCCCTCTCCATTGAGTAGATCATGAAAGGCCTGGAACGTATTGTTGAGGGCTATGTTGAATTTGTTGAGTTTGTCAGTATCCCGAAGAAAAGCCGTATTAAACTTTTGTGATGTTGTCCGTCCCATTGTCCAGTGCTTCTTCAGTTTCAGTTTCATCTTAGCGACCAGCAAGTGATTATCTGATGCTATATCAGCTCCTCTCCTGACTCTCATAACCTCCATCGTCCTCCTGAAATTTTTGCTGATGCAGATATGGTCGATTTGGTTCTGTGTAGTGTGATCCGGTGAAATCCAAGTGGCTTTGTGTATGTTTTTGTGTGTGGGAATATAGTGTCACCTACGACCACTTTACTGAAAGCATACAGGTTTGCAAATCTCCACCATTTTCGTTCGTTTCTCCCAGTCCATGTCGTCCCATGATTTAATTATCCTGAAAAAAAGAATAAATAACTCATTAAACCAATCTATTAAACTAAATACCTTATTCATCATTTTTAGAATCTCTAGATCCTCCTTATATTACTCGTGACTGTATTATCAATAAAAAAATTTTAAACCAAATCTCTTTAGTGTTCCTTTTCAAATTTCTCTATAATCGCAATATACTTCGTCAGTTTAGACTAAAATTGTGAAGTGTAGTAAGTTGTGGTCAAAATCAACAATTGAAGATCCCATACTTAATGTCCAATCTGAAAGTCCTAGATTTAATCTTTGGTAAGCCTTTAGAGTCAACATTCTTTATGGAACACTATATTTGGATGAAACAAATATTTTTTTAAGTGATTCATCAATTGGAGTCAGTTTGTTAATAAAAATTATATTCAAAAAATCTTCAGGATATTTATGTTTCACTACAACAGTTATTATTTCACTTTTTCTACATCGTGACAAATGGTTGGAGAAATATATGTGGCATGAACTAAAAATCTATAACTAGGAAGGAAATGTATCCATTCTTCATCTTCCCTTAAATCAAAAGATTTTAAGCGACTTTATACACTGTAAGCAAAGATGGATAGTGGCTAGCAGTGGAATGCAGGACACGCGTTTCGTCCTATTTGGGAATAGTCAGCTGGATGTACCTGCATGTCAGACTTGATGTTCACTCTGGGACTCGAACCCAGTACCTTTCGCGTTAACCACTCAGCCACTGAGTTCTGATAGCCACTTGCTTGTGCAATGACTTCACCCCATTGCTAGCCACTATCCATCTTTGCTTACCATGCTTGTGAATTTAGGCTATATCGATGCAATACGCACAGTATTAACATATGCCAATAAGAGACTGACCAGTTGCAGTCCTAAACATCAATAGGAAGATTCAAACAAACAATACTAAATGAATTTAGACTTTATACATTGTTTTCGAAGTATTAATTTGTTCTTCTCAATTCATATTCATTATATTGAATGGAATTCTATTACCATTGATAATGTTATTAAGTATATTTGTTCTTTGGTATTCATCTTAACAATTTCATTTCTCTATGATAAGAAGTTATAGTAAATTGAACTGATCCAATATATGTTCCAGATTCTATGTAACTTTTAACTGATTGACTGACTGATATATTAAAGATCAATCTTATATATTATATAAAAAAGAATATCATTCCCAAACCACATTCCTTAAAAGACATAGATATTTTTAAAGGGTACAATTTGTATTACAGTATGTATATATTTATTGATCTATAAAAATGTGATCTGTGTAGCAACTATCATGACTATTGTCATATGACCGACCGAGGAGGGGGGGTTACTTGCAGAAAAGTATTCCACTTTAATCTTCCTCTTTTTTTTCTAATATATCAATTGTAAGTTTGAATATTGTTAATTTAAACAACGGAAATATATAATGGAATTTTGTATGAAAAAGAACATTCTCTCTCTAAAAAATGACTGATCAGAGAATAAAAATTAAACTGAGACTGTTATATTTTAAAGTAGATGGTGAACGGTAGAATCTAGGATAAGCGTCTCTCTCACTTTGGGACTCATAGGATAGACATAATTGCTGTATCCTAATGTCTTGGTGTATATATTAGAACTTGAACAAAATACCCTTAGTTTCAAATGCTTAACTCATTGCTCAATGAGTTACTGAGTCCAGAGAGCTACTCACTTGTATAATGAGTATAACAGTTATATTAAGAAGAAGAAGAATGGTTCGAGCTTTCTCATTTTTAATATCCAAGACTAAATAGTTATCAGTTTTTGGTTATCATGATACAAACACTATACCCATTCACTAAATTAGTGTCGTTTGAATTCAGTAGGTCAGTGAATGATGCTTTGAACATTAAAATCTAAAGTTACTGAGTTTGAGCATTAACCCTGAAATCCAGGTACATCTACCTGACGAGGAGTAAACTAGACAAAACGCTAGTCTTGAATTCTACTACTAGCCCCAATTCAGCTATTCTCAAGAAAGATTCGTGAAAAATGACTTTATCAAAACAATCCGTACGCAGTGCAGATTCGCTAACTAAGACTAATCAAAATTCAGTCCTAAAAATCAACAACGGCATAATCCAAACACTTACTAATAAACGGATGTTTGACTGGTTGTAAAAAATCTTTTTTCTCATTATTTTGAAATTTTCACATGATTTCAACGAAGTCTCCTATGAAACAACATTGCATTGTCCAATCTTCCAAAAATTTATTTCTCTGTTTTCCTCAAGGACACTTCACAGATTATTGAGACTATCCTAGTCGAAATCTTTGTCTATTTAGTTGGTAAAGGTCGCAAACTAAAAATTATTCCACTACAAATGAAGATGAATGGTGGCTAACAGTGGAATCCAGAACGCATGTTCATCCAGCTGACGAGTCCCAAATAGAACGAAACGTGAGTCCCGGATTCCACTGCTAGCCATCCTCCATCTTTGCTTATAAT